ATTTCAAGAACAAAAACTTTTGGACTGCTCCCATTCCTAACAAATGTTCTTAGGTCCTTAATAAGATTTTGGAGTGTAGAGAACTTATTGATAATATTGGTGGTTGGGATACTGTTATGCATAAAGGGAAGATGAGCATTGTCAGGTTGTATTCCAAGATTAGACCCCAAGCTCCTAAAGTTCCCTGGACAAGAATTATTTGCAATAATCATGCTTCGCCCAAAAGCTTTTTTATAACTTGGTTAGCTTTGATGAATAGGCTAGTGAAAGACAAACTTATCAGCTGGCAGATTTAGTGTGATCTAGTTTGTTTTCTTTGTCAAGCTCAGAATGAATGTGTATCTCACTTGTTTTTTTACTGTCCTTTTTCTAGTATTATTTGACAATAGATTCCAAAGCTTCTGCAGTATCAGAAATCTGTTAAGCAGTTTGAGCTGGAACAACAATGGGTTTTTCAATTTTATAGGAAAGCTACTCAGAGAAGGAAGTTGTATCTTATGTGCTTTGCTGAAGCTATCTATTGTATTTGGATGTAGAGAAATTCTATGATGTTTACAGGCAGCTCCAAAATTGTTACTGATTGCTTTAGAGATATAATTTTTAATGTTGCTTGTAGTGTAATGTTGAAGAAAGGAAGTTTCTATTGTTGTAAGTTGTTTGCCTTTTGTTTTTCTGCGTCTTTTGTGGGAGGGTTGTTCTTCAGCTGAGTCTAGTTAGAGGTTTTTGTTTTCCTTTTGCTGCCCTGTTCCTCTCTATTACACCCTTCCTAGAAGGTTGTTATGGGCTTGAACCTGTTCCTATGTTGAACCCTTCCTAGAAGGTGGCTTCATAGTAGTAGGAACCATTTGGGGTTTTGGTTTTCTGGCTTCCAGGATGTGTTGTTTGGGGTTTAACTTAGCTTTTGTAAGTTGTTCTTTGCTCTTTGGTAATAAAATTCCTATTTACCCAAAAAAAAGGGCTCAATAACACTGATCAAGTAACTCTTGGCCGAAAAATCCTTATAATACACGAACAAAGTAATTCCTACGATGATGATCACACGATATGACCATACACATAAGAATTTGTGAAAGGAATATCATATTTGGTCCAACTTAACCATGTAAAAATTTAGGATCGACAATTATTCCCATGGTACACACTAGTCGTTATTTAGGTCACTAGCTTACAATAACAAAAACAAAACAAAATAAGATAACACCATTTGAGTCATGAAAAGATAATATTCCTTATGAATAAAAAAAACATGATATTATACCTAAGAGTAAGTGGGAATTTTGGAAGGATTAAGAAACGAGTTTGTTAGGATTGAGAGACAAAGAATGAAAAAGTGAAACAGGAGAACACATGTAGATGGAGTTATGTGAGATGACAGAGTATGTATTGACTACATAACTGCAATTTGAATATTTAAGATCATAATGATACAAATAAAAAGGGAATCCATGTAGTTAAGTATCTGACTTTATCTGTCCTCGAAAACTATTCCTTTCTGTCATCATTTTATACTATACTGAATTTCTTTGCTTTTATCTTACTGCCCTGCTGTCAGTGAGATGGTGAACTAGAATTCTTTCTCTCTCTCACATAGAATTTTGTGTGAGATTTGCATATAGTTTACTTGATTCAATTCATTCCTTGAACCCTACATGCTCTTATTAGCTACAAATACTTATTCTGCGACATCTACAAATTCAAATCTAATCATAACAATTACTACCTCCGTTAATTATTATGTGCAACAAAGGAGTATTATTTGTGAGATATAAAATATTCCCCTATTGTATATAACAATTAACAGAGATAGTAATAATGATTACAATTAACAAAAATAATACACAAATTTTTAGACGTCTTAGACACCATTACTTCCCATATACAACTGTACAATAAATTAAACTTGCTCAAGTCCCGTGCACGCTTGTTACTAACTTCATATTGTAACAAATTGCAATGCTAATTCAATAATACTTTACGTAAATAAAGGTATACAATTTAATTTTTGTAAAAAAATAAAGTTTAAGGTCTGTTAAATTTTTTTATTAAAAAAATGAAAATTTTGATGAATATTTGTGCTATTATATATTAATACGAATATATATAGTACATGCATTTATAAGTTTCTAAAATGAATTTTCTCTTTTAAATTCAAATAAAATTCAAAAATAGTAAAGTGAAACAAAGAAAAAATTGATAATATAATATGAATCTTCCATAGTGGTATTATTTTGATAATGGAAACAATATTGTTGTCAATCGGGGAAAGAATATATTATGGGCTATAAATAGTTTTCTTGAAGTTTTTGGAGAAGGAAAAAAAAATGGAGGGAAAATTTTTAACCAGTAAATGACATGTGTCATTTTTGGTTTTGCTTTTACCCGTGCAATGCATGGATTTTATAAAATTATTTAACAAATTATAACATTAGTTTAACAATTATATATAAACAAAGAATTACATTTATAAACGTAAAAAACAATAGCTATATTTATTTTTTATTTTTTATTTTTTTTACAATGATGCATGTAAATTTCTAAGGCTATTGATGTGTTAGACTTTATAAATATGAAAAAAAAAATTAGGGCCTATTGATTATTTAGAACCCATGCTATATACCCTATCATGTCCTTATTTTGTTGACGTAGTTTGACATACACATTGGTTTATACAAGTTTAGTTAACTTTAACTTTAGTTTTCTTTATGTAAAAATAAAATTCTTAAAAATAAGCGAGTCATAGGTTTTTATTATGATATATAAGTAAGGTGAGGAAAATAATGAAACATTAAATATTCTTATAAAAAAAATATTAGCATGAATCATGAGATTAATATAGAAGTAAGGCTTTCCCAAATTATAATATTAGCATCAGAATATTGTAGAAATCTTGGAGAAAATTACAAAAATTACTTAATATACAAAATATATACATATAAGAATATTTCATTAGGTGAATATTATAGGCTATAAATAATTTTTATGAAGAATTGACAAAATAAAAAATTAAATTAAAAAAAAACACAAAAAAAGGAAAGAAAAAATGGAGGGAAAATTTTTAACTAGTGAATGACATGTTTCATCACTGATTTTGCTTTTAGCATTGAGTTATTGATAGATAATCGGAGTTCCTTACAACAATGTTTAAATGGGATTACCTTAATAAATACTAGGGATCACCATAATTAAAATAGTGACATGTCTATTATGGTTTTTTTCTTTTTTCTTTTTTTTTTAATTATTTTGGCTACAAGATATGATTGTGCAACTAGTGTCCATTTCTTTTTTTGTTAACATAACTTACATTGTTCGTATAATTCATTGAGATTACACATAATTAAAATAAAATTACGTCGCATCGTGCTTAAATGAGGTTACTATTATCAATAGGTGAAAATTGCGCTTATAAACAAAACTAAATACATAATGTGCCTTGTCATACACTAACTCTAAAACTTTTTTAATCATATGAAAAGTTATTAAAATTGCATCAAATTAAATCTTTATTTGAATTAACATGATCACATGCATGAACCGCCTAGACATTGTTAATCTCAATTAATTTAATCATAGTAAAAAGCGAAATTTGTTTTTTATGGGACATTTTCGTGAATAAATCAACAACTTTTTCATTATTGTGCGCTCCACAGTTGAATAAAGTTGAATAAAGTTGGTTTATTTACGAAAATGTCATGTGAGAAACAAATTTTGTTTCTCACCATGAGAAAATGGGGCATCCTCCAACTTAAAAGCACATCTTTCAAATATATATTATCTTTTATATATATATAAATGATAATATAACGTACAAAATCCTAGTGCTTAGGAGTTCTTCAATACTTAATGTAAATTACTCTCCCGTTCTTTCTGTTTTTTTCAACTCAAATAAATTTGTTGTTTACACAGAAGAGTTTATGAGGCACTAGTAAGGTCTTAAGAGTTATTTACACAGAAATAAAAAATTTATATTATGTCCTTAATAACTTTAGCTGAATTAATTCAATAGATATCACCTTACAAATGAATTGAATTGTTAGAATTTTATTGACCTAGCAGCCTTTAACTAACTCGTTGGTTTAACATTATGGAGGAGTATAATATTCTATTTTAGCTTTAAATTATTTATTTTTGGTACAGACAGAAACAAGAACAACTGATGTGGACGAGATTTACAGGTTTTGTGTACAACATTTTAATTATTCAGTCTGTATGCCTTGATTAATTAAAATATTTGTAGAATAATCTATTGACTCTACTCACATAAATGATAATCTTAATAAAAACATATCAAAAAAAAGTAAATTACAGTGCAATAACTTTACCCTTCATTACGAGTTATTAATCTCAAGGGAACACTTTCACTTAATTGAGAATTGACTATTCACTAATAATAGATTTGATATTAAATCGTTTAACAAGAATGTTATCAATTGAATAATTTTGCATACTTGCAACTCATGTAATCATGTATATATACAATAGTTGTGAGTAGCATTACAAATATTTGTCTAATAATACATGTTTAACAAGAACATATCTACCTAAAAAATGATAATTTATCTAATCCAAATAGAAAAAATCCTCTAAACCACGAGGAAAAAAAATTAGGACAAGGAAAAAAAAAATCATGAAACAATTTTTATTAATGAAACAATTATTTTATATTTTAAACAGCTTTATGTTTATAAAACATTGATATAATCACGAAAGGAAAACATCTAATCGTAAATTAGACGAAGTAGTTGCTTGTGAAACTTAGATAACTCAAGAAAAAGGATATAAACCTACATTCTAATTTGTACATCATTATACATAAGTATTCTGTAATTTAGAACTTTGTGATATATTTTTTATAATGAGACTATATTATGAATAACATCATGATCTTTGGTAGATGAGATGAGAAAAGTCATTTGTTGTTTACTAGATTTGGATTAATAAAATAGTTACCTTAATTACATGAAACACACAAAAGGGCTTATTCCCAATTCATCAAACTAATAAAACCAAAAATCACACTCTCTTCAAATTATATTAGAAGACAAATAAAACTCATTGACAAGTGCTATAATAATTTATCAATACACATACTATTGAACCTTAGGGCTATCGCCTAGCCTAAGCTCTAGATCTAAGTACTCAAATTTAGATGCATATACCTTTGGCGCTGGTTCTTCAACCTTATCCAAATTATTTACGGCTGGTGGCGAAAATGTATGGTGTTTCCTTTTCTTTGATCTATTTGGTTCATCGCAGTTATCTTCAACTATTGCCGAGTAACCTAAGCTGATAGAAGAACTGGGCTTCTCTGGCGTCGTGCTGATCTTGTAGGATAAATCCTTGCATCTTTCCTTACTGTTAAGACAGAAAAACGCTACGTCCGGTTTTTCTAGGTCTATGCTTTTGACTTTTGGTACATCTGTAAATTTCTGATCACGGTTAAGACAGAAGGATATGTTTTTCTCATGGTTTATTACTAAAGATGAAACAAGCTGAGATCTAGGATTACTGATCGTAGTCTGACGTAATGAAACAACAGATGGTTGAGATGTAAAATTAGGGCTGGCCACATCCTTCATATTATCTTCTACTTTAGTGCTAGGACTTTTGCGACTAACCAAAGATAAATCGGAATGATTAGGATGATTGGGGTAAGATGAATTTTGAGGAGGATCAACTTTTCGATGTTGATGTTGTGAACTTGAAAACTGCTTCAGCCTCGCTCTGTCTCTCCTATGAACATTCATATGACCACCTAAAGCTTGTGCAGACCTAAATTCTCTCATACAGAAGCTGCAGGAATACGACTGCGGAGGCCATACACATCCTCCAAGCATCCCAGCAGCGTCTTCAGCAAAAGCTTTCTCCTCCCATGATTCATCATCATATTTAGGAGCTCGATCCGTTACCATCCAACATCGAGCTTCATCCATTAAACTTAAAAAATAGAGTAATATTAGAAAAAAAAAAAAAAAAAAAAAAAAAAAAAAAAAAAAAAAACAGAAAAGAAAAAAAAGCAACACAATATTGGATTTATAATAATACGAAAAGATGGAAATAATTCGAGTGATGAAATAATGAAAACAACTCTACGGTTTTTGTAAGGAAAATAATCGGGAGTGGTTGGACAAAATGGAACGACTAGACACCAATACATACTTAACTTATGGCTGAAAATGTTGATTTTCTTAACTCTAGTCATTACAACACCTTGTTTTTCTCTTAATTTGCCTCTAAAAAGTACAGTCATTGATTAACTATATTATTTTCTTATATTCTGCATTGACGATACAAAGTACTGCTTGTGATTTGTGATAAAAGAAGAGAGTTTTGGAAGTTGCCAAGCTAGTGTGGGTCATACCCAAGAATTACTTTGGTATTAATGTTTGTTACGGCATGTATTCAATTCGTCATGTTATATTGATTTAGTGTAATATATCAGCCATCAGCTTGTTCCTAACCGCGCTTATAGACAAAATTACAGATTTAAATTTTGTTGTAATAAGCAATTTACTTAAATATTGAGTCGAATTTGCCTCTGTCTTACCATTACGCTGTATTTTCTTACATAAAAAATAATTGATGTTTTAGAATGATGTACTTTTTTTGTTTGCGTTACTAAGATTAATATTCTTGATAACCAATTTTTTTTTCTGTTGTTTCCCTTTGCTGGTATATTTGTTCTAACTTGGGTGAATTAGAACTTTGATTTTGTAAAACTGTGAACTTTAGCTTGATTTCAATAAACTCAAGCGCTGAATATTTATAATACAATCTTCCTTAGTTTCCTAATCCTACATAAACACGTATTGCTATCCAAAATAAGTTATGGAAATAATATTCTAGTAAATCTAGATAATCAACAATTCAAATAATATCAAATATTATATCCTAAATATATCTTCACGCTCCACACAAGTTGGAGCTTGAGGTTCGAAAATGCCCAATTTGGAAAGAAAGTGAGCTTTCTCGAGAGCTTTTGTGAATGTATTCGTCGATTGAGCCGAAGTAGACACATGTGACGACGAAACCAAGCCTTCATTGATTGCATCACATACAAAGTGACATTCAACCTCGATATGTTTCATACGCTCATGAAATGCGGTGTTCCTTGCAATATATGCAATGCTGATTGACTATCATAGAACAATATAATTGCTTTAGGATGTAGAACACCCAAACTCAACAACAAACCCTTCAACCACTTTAATTCACAAGTGATTGCTGCCATGGACCTGTACTCCACCTCTGAAGAAGATGTAGAGACTATAGGTTGTTTTTTAGTTTTCCAAGAAATGGGAGATTTGCCTAGGAACACTAGCCATTCTGTCAACAAGCGTTGAGTGAGGGGAGATGCCACCCAAACTGAGTTACACCATCCCTCTAGTGTGAGCTCACTATCTGAACGCAACAATATGCCTTGTCCGGGATATCCTTTTAGATAACGAACAACCCTTAAAGCAGCTTCCCAATGCTCTATGTGAGGTTCTTACTTGAATTGTGATAGAATGTGAACGGAGTAAGCCACGTCCGGTCGAGTAACCGTAATATATGTAAGTCGTTCCATAAGAAGACAATACGCGTCGAAATTCTTCAACAATTCACTGCTAGCATGGGCAAGCCTATAATTTTGTTCCTTGGGAAACCCCCTAGGCTTTCCTCCCAATAGCCTTGTTTCAAAAATAATATCTGGAGTATACTTTCGTTGGCACAAAAATAATCAAAACGAACTAAAAGCAATTAACCTCAATGCCCAAAATATATTTTAGTGGGCCAAGATCTTTCATTTTAAAACAATCATTAAGATATACCTTGAAGGCCTTAAGTGCAGCGGAATCATTCAAAAAAAAAAAAAAAAGATCATCCACATAAATTAAGACATTTATTTGAGTTTTTCCATTACTGTATGTGAATAATGAATAATCAGAGTAGGCTTGGAGAAAACCATACCCTTTCAAAGCCGACACCAATTTTGCAAACCAACACCTAGTAGCTTGATTCAAGCAATACAATTACTTGTGCAATGTACACACCAAAGCCATACTATAATCAATCAACATAATTCCTAAATTAATCACAATGAATCAATTATACAAGTTTCTCTCAAACCTTAGCAAAACAACTACTCAAGAATCATCATCTAATCAACCAGTATAAGAATGAAATAAAAAATCAAAAAAATATGAACAACTACACTAAACAAGAGACAATCATACAAATAAAATCAAACAAATATGAAATTAAACAAAGCAATAAAATGAGAAAGAGTTAGAAATCCTCATTGATTGATTATGGAGATCTTGAATACAATTGTCACCTTGAATCATCAATTTCTCAAATTACCAATGACATCTCTCACTTTCTTGCTCTAAATCTTCTCCTTAACAAACCCTATAACTAGAGAGAGAAACTCTCAACTAAGCAAAAAATTATGATGAAAATTATGTCCAAAAAACTCCTCCAAAAATTAGGTTTTAAAATATTTTTAAGTGGCAGGAAACGAGCTCGAAATGAACCAAGAAGAAGGGTTTTGAGCCCGTGCAAGGTGGTTTGCACGCCCTCTCCTCCTCAATTGCACTTGCGATAAATTGGTTACGGAATCGACCTCGATTGCGCGCATGTAGACACCTAAAAATGTTTCCCCAAAATCAAACCCTCAGTTAATTATACCTTTCACGCCTTGGTTTAAGGACGGAACCTTGGGTTAAGTATGGACTCCTTGGAGTGCTTCGGGGAAAAATGGTGTAATTAGAAATATAGGTTTAAGGCTTAAAATATGAGAGAGAGAGAGAGAAGAGAATGATTTTTGGTGTAAAAGAGAGAAAGAGAGAAGGATTTAGTGCCCCGAACTGCAGAAAGGATGAGGTATTTATAGGGAAAATGAACAGAGAGAACACACGAAACCCTAAGAAGATAAAAACCCTAAAAATTAACACCGCGACATGGGAGAGAACACCATGACACGATGCCAAGCACTGTCAGACGGGGAAAAATCCCGTGACGCAGGGAAAATTGGAGCGACGCGGGACATATTTGACCTATGGAAAGTGAAAACGCGTGAAGGGTTTACGCGGAAAAGACACGAGAAAATTCCGTGACACAGCACATGTACCGTGACACAAAAGTGTCCACTGTAGCATGGTACATTACGCCGTATCACGGTATGGGAAAACACGAAAATTACACGGAAAAAGCACCGAGACACAGTGAGAAATACTGTATCACGGTAGCAGGTACCGTGTCACGGCTTCAGGTACTGTGCCACGGTGGATTTTCAGCTTCGAAAATATCACCGTGACATGATGTAAACTAACGTGTCACTGCACCAGGCACCATGCCACGTCATCAGGCGCTGTGACACGCTGCTTTTATAATGTGCGCGGTAATTTCAGTTTTTTTACCCGTTTTTAAAATCATCATAACTTTTGAGCCATAACTTGGAATAAGACAAATAATATATAATTGGAAAGCTTATTAAATCTACTTTCCAACCCAATTAGAATCAGGTGAAAATAATTTGTAGCTTTTAAGATATGGCCGTTTTAGTAAAAGGGTGTCGGTTATGGGCCGAGTTTAGTGTTTGGCTCATATCTTTTTCGTTTTAAATCGGAATTGGGCTTATGATATATGGTTGGAAAGCTTATTTCAATGTCTATCCAACCAAGTAATAATAGGATAAAAATTATTAGTCTAAAAATTCAGTTTCTCTCAGTTTTGCGATGTGGACACGAAAAGTTGAAAACAAAGTCTGATTTAGGGAAATGAGCTAGGAAATGGATTGGTTTATGAAATGTATTGAATGGAAACATGGATTTAAGTACTCCAAAGATTAAATACTCAACCCAACCAATAATATAGGTGAAAGGTTTTTCATCATCGGGTTTGGTTTTGGGGAGATATTTTTAGGTGTCCATAGAAGCCCCCACTTTGACTATCGTTTTCGAAAATACCCCCCTCCTTTCTGCAGTTCGGGGCACCAAATCCTTCTCTCTTTCTCTCTTTTACATAAAAAATAATTCTCTTCTCTCTCTCTCTCTCATATTCTAAGCCTTAAACCTATATTTCTAATTACACCATTGTTCCCCTAAGTACTCCAAGGAGTCCATACTTAACCCGAGGTTCCGTCCTTAAACCAAGGCGTGAAAAGTATAATTAACTGAGGGTTTGGTTTTGGGGGAGACTTTTTTAGGTGTCTACGGCGCCCGCCCAGGCTAAAGATGTGCTCTTGCGCTCCCTAAGCAGGACACTACTTCGGTGCATTTATGATGTGAATGGTGCGCCCCTCATGATACTCACTAAGCATGACATATTAAAATGGATTTGACGGTGGGTTCAACACCATGGTCTCATGAGAGTGCAGCTTGAGAGCACTAGAGGTAGAACTTGGAGCATGTAACTTTCTTACTTCTTAAGCTTTCCCAATGTCGTAAGCTTGCTCCAAAGGAATCTTCCAACTTAATAAGCCACCAATATTAAGTCCATAACTTAATTTGTACAATAACAATTACCACGAAAATAGGAGAAACAAAGGAGAAAACACTAAAAAACCATAAAAACACAAAATAAGAAAGAAAATGAATAAAATTAAGCATTGATTATTGAAGAAATTCAAGAAAATAAGGTAAAAACAACCTAAAAAATCATCAAATGAGTGCTATTTATGACACTCATTCAAGTTTCCTTGGGTTAGTGGGTCATTATAGGTGGTTTGTTAAGGATTTCTCGAGAATTTTAAGGCCTATGACGAGCTTGATGAGGAAGAAATGTAAGTATGAGTGGACTCTAGAGTAAAGCAGTCAAAAACTAACCCGACTCAAGAACCCAACCTGAACCAACAATGATCTGAACCTAACATGTACTCGAACAATGATGGGATGAAACTAGTGACCTGTAACCCGACCTGAACCAAGCCTGATGTTAACCGATAACCTATTTGATTATTACTTTACAACCAAAACCAGAACCTACACCTAACCTAATAGAAACCATCAACCGATTTGATTCGACCCAACAATAATTCAAACCCGAACTAGTACCTGACACAATTAGAATCTGAAAATAGTTATAGCCCAACACAACCTGTTATTGACCTGAGTCATGAAAGATTTAATATAATTTTATATACCTTTTATTTAACTTATATAATGGTACAATTCTATAAATCCTCAATCTAGGGATCTAGGTTTAGGGTTTTAGAGCCGCGCCGTCAGGTGGCGCGGTCAACTCTTAAAGTTGCGCTGGGGTGCCACACGCATCTCCATGAATCGCGCGCGCAAGGCT